CTGCTAGTGCAATATATTGGAGAAACCGTCGGAAAATTGCGTGCAATTTATTTGCACTCAAAATTGAAAAAGTCATTGCTATTAGGCATTAGCATCCAGTGTTAAACTTCAGATTAAATTTGGCTAAACGGCAAACACGTATTGTACTTGTTTGATTGAACATCAATTTCATTGAGTACAACAATTGATTTGTTCATATCACTTTTGTGACCACTTAGAGAAACATTTGAATCCGCAGATATCCATGTACGACGGATATGTGAGCGTTTATAAAGCCCAACGCATCAGCTTTAAGTGAAGATTAATTTTAAGTGAAGAATTATAATGGAAACTGACTGCAAAGAGCAAAACGTTTGATGTGTTGGATTGAAATTTTGACAGATTTTGACAAAATTTGATTGCTTTTCAATTGATAAGATGCGATTTTCAGTTATCCGAAACTATCAACTGCTTGCGGGCATTACCGGCCGCAAAATTACTCGACGACATGTGGTCTGATTTGGAGTTCCTCGAGTTTCCGTTCGTGCCGGTCTCTCGAGATCGTAACTTCTTTCGACAGTACGACGGTTTCACGGCACTTCGACAAGGGCAATTCAACAAGAATGTTAACATTATGATTGGCATTAACCACGATGAAGGTTCGTGCTGCTGTTGTATGTGGGCGAGTGGTTTATAGTTAACCGTGTTCAATTGATAGCAAAGCAAAATCACTGATTTTTGATCACTGATCATGTTTTGGTGATTGTAATGATGTTCATTGAGCGAGAGTGATGCATCTTGATAATCATTGAAGCAGGTGTTGGTTGATGCACTGAAACAGTTAATATTTCAGGGAATTTCTGGAATATTTATAACTTGCCTGAATATTTCGATAAGCCAGAGCAACCGCAACTGACTCAAGAGGATTTTTTGAAGTGTGTCCAGACCGTATTCCACTCACAACCTGAGGTGGTACGTGATGCGGCCTCATTCGTCTATCTGGATCGTAAATGCCAGCATGGTCTCGGTAAAAGTAAATATTACGCTGAACAAGTGAGTGCTTAATACTGCTTTCGTTTGAGCACCTGATTCGATGCAAATCGCCGAACACAGCCATTCGGCTGGGTATGATGCATGTAAAGGTCTCTCTGCGCGATAGCTCATTTGCTAGAGTATTACCTGGATTACCTGCATTGGCAAGCAGGCTATCAAACGTTTATAACGTTGCTGACCACAATGCTCGCAATGTTTCCGTGCGACGCATTGTTTTAGCCTCAATTTACGCCTAAATCCCGCTGGCTGGGCGAGCAGGCCAACCGAACACAACCGAGTAATTAATTAGTTGCCGTGAATACTTTGCATAATTAATCACAGCCAAATATCAATTCGATAACTAATCATACTCTAATAAAATAAATATTCCGTCGATCGCTCACAGCGATCAACAAAACAACCGTTCGATGTATACGCAATAAGTAATAATTGCTAGAGCACATGAGTTAAAATTGCTAAGTTGTAAGTTTGAATCGGAAATCCGCTCGTGAACTGACTTTTGATAGGAATCGAATACTGTGCACTAGTATGAGCACTATTATTCTTGTCCTGATAGCAGTTATCGCATACTTTCTATGGTGAATTTTTTGTTGCTTTTCCATTTGCTCTAGGCTGCATTTAGAGTTCAGTTAAACAGTAGGTTCTTAATAGTAAGATTTCAATTTCTTAATAGTAAGATTTCAATGAAGGTATATCAAAGAGGTGAATGAAGACTGCGTTATTTTAGGTCAATCAAATGG